TGCGCCAGAAGAGACGAAGCAACGTTCACACGTTGGAAACGGTGATCATCAGAGAGTTCGTGAGGCACCCACTTTAAGAAGTTTTCCCATATTCATTAGATGTTTACGTATTATTTAATGAGAAACATGCAATTTCAGGGCTATTTCACGAGTGTGTTGCCTTGGGTTAGACTCAACAAGCATCTTCAGAGCATCAATATCAATTCCAACATGAACGAAATTTGCTGAACCATCGTTGACACTTGCGAACTTTCAAAACATTTCCATAAACTTCTTTGTGGCTAAAGAGGTGTTGTTTTCTTTCTTGTATTCAAACAGCATTACATGCCGAATGTGTGTCATCACTATAAGGGATTAGAGTATACTAAATTTTACACATTATATAGGCTACACTGACGTGGCGTTTAGGCGGTTCATTTAAGTACGTGATGTACGTTTTTTGGTGGTGGTTAATGAAAGTGTTCCAAAACGCGACATTAGTTTCTTGACAACCTAATAAATATATTTTTCTGGATCTTAAGTTGATTATGGGCTATTTACTACAATATTAGCCTCGTTTAATCAAAATAAAGTCTAAATCGCTGTTTATTTATATAAAGAATGTCTTGTCTAAACTTACAGTAGAGTAAATGCCATCATATCCTTTGGCCGGTTTTGTGTTGTTGCGGAAATCTAGGAATAACTGTTCATTCAAACCTGGATAGAAAAACGATTTCAGACAAGTAGTTACATATATTTTTATTGGATTGTCAAAGTTTCTAAAACTTTATACTCCTATACAGCTTGTAAAAACCAACATACAAACCTTATCACTTCATAAAAATATCAACAGGTGGCGTTACAAAAGTCCTAAACTAGGTACCTGATGATGACAAAACCTTGGTGGGCAAAGCCCATTGTGTAGCTTTGTGCTTAATTACAAACAAACAATCATTACCAATTCAAGCCGTCTCCAAGCATTATTAGTCTCAAAGTGGGTTCCTCGTCATCGAAATAGACAAGATACCGTATTTCTTTGTTGGTGTTTAATAGTTTATATTGTTTTACACAGCAATCATAACCTTACAAAACTCTGCTACAGAGGCAGCACATGAAGGTGACTTAAAAAATACAACAAATTCCTTCATTACGGCACAAAATTGTGAGGACTCTGGAATTCTATAAATATGCGTCTTACTCTATCTGTTTGGTAATTCTCTGAAGCTTTTTGGTATACGCATACGGAGATACACATTTATGTACCACATAGAGAAAACTAGTTTGGTGTGAGATACGTAAAACACCTTTAGCTCCAGAAGAAAATATATGTAAAAGTTACAGTTTAAAAGTCGAATACTAGTGAAACAATAGAAAGAAACACGCCTAAAATCAGTAAATAACAAATAAAAACCGATAAAAGTACGCTTCACTTACTTAATTTAGTTCACACCATCACAGTTGTTATTCATACAACTGATGATATAAATACCGTTTTGACAACTACTGTGTCTTTCGTATTGCAGCCATTCTGATAAGCTCTGGTATTGAACAAAAGGCGTAGTAGGAACTGGATAACAGGTACAGTATGGGTGATATATTATTAGAATTTTTTTTGTTTTAGCTCATAAGTTCTTTGAATTTGTAATTAAGTAAACTGCAGATTTTTTTTGGCGTCCCTTTTAATTTAGTAGTTTCAGATTCGAAATCAGATGTGTGTAAAAATAGCATTTCAGTTCTTTATTTCGTCTTACACAAGACGTTGCCTAAGAGGTCTCTCGTTCAATATCAGAATTCGTCATTCCAAGTGAATAAAACGGCAGTGAACTTATGGGAGACAAAAGATAGGTTTGAAATGCTATTTTTATACAACTCTAACTTCGAATCCGAAGTAAACAAATTAACAAGAATGGCCCGGCATAGCCAGGTGGTTAGGACGCTCGACTCGCAATCTGCGGGTCGCGAGTTCGCATCCCGTCCCACCAAACATGCTCGCCCTTTCAGCCGTGGGGGCGTTATAATGTGACGGTCAATCCCACTATTCGTTGGTAAAAAAGTACCCCAAGAGTTGGCGGTGGGTGGTGATGACTAGCTGCCTTCCCTCTAGTCTTACACTGCTAAATTAGGGACGGCTAGCGCAGATAGCCCTCGTGTAGCTTTGCGCGAAATTCAAAACAAACAATTAACAAGAATATAGAAAAAAAAAACATCAACAGTTTAAGTGATTTTTATAACAAAGCATTTTCCTTTAAGTCTTTTGAAAGACCTAACACCGGTTATTTATAACAAGTCTAAGTTACTGCAGTATGCGCTACGTAAACTGTAATGAAAAAATAATATGACAAAGTTCCACAAAGACTTTTATCTCAAATAAAAATTTTTGGAAAAGGACATATCAGATGAAAGAATAAAAAACACATCAATGTTAGATAACATTATACCACACAGACCACTTGGTGGCTTTTCGCTTTTGATTCTTATCTTTTATCTGTAAATAATATTTGATATTATATTTAATTACTTCAATGAAGTACGATTTATTACTCACTAACCTCGGTTCTTGAACTCTGAAGGATGTGTTTCGTGAGTGTAATAGTCTTCTGAACCCAAATAGTAACCGAAAAATGAATCGAATCCTCGAAAAGTTGGGGTGTACGACCAATTACAGTACCCCAGGTGCCACCTGTCGAAATTACAATTAATTTTTATTTAACTTCATTAATCAAATAAAAAAATACCAGAATCGTGCGTATAATAATCTTCTGAACCCAAATAATAGCCGAAAAATGAATCGAAACCTCGAAATGTTGGAGTGTAAGACCAGTTACAGTAGCCCAAGTGCCATTTACCGGATAAAATAAGCTATAGTGGTTTATTACTAAATTTTCGTATTCAAAATCAAATTTCAGTTAAACTTAAAAGTATTTTTCATATTATTGTAAGCACTATCATTCTGACAGAAATATTAATTAGAAACAATGCCCTATTTTAATTACATTATTAGTAATATAACATACTTGGTATACTTATAAATGCATTAGTAGAATTAATTATGAGCAACAAAAATAAATTATTTGCTACTATAAAAATGCAACTGTTTTGGGGTAATGATACTGATTATAATAATTATGTTGAACATTACTGATCACCTCTAGTTTTCGAGTTATCATAGATTTATTCAAAATATTATTATATATCATGAAAATAACTTTTTCTTTAATAACATTTAAGAATATATAATCTGCATGCTTTGATAAGTTTCTTTCATTTTCACAGCATGAGAAACAGGAATCGATGGCTTAGTGTTTCAATTGGGCAAAAGTACAGCTTTCAGACTAAATTTAGATGAGTCGATGAAAATCTCCATTTTTGAGGATAATGTTTAGTATCTAATTCTTCCATTAGTGCATCAACATTTGAATAGAAACACAAAGTATCTTGTACGTTTTAGGAAGAAGCAAGATTTTGATGGTGACTTTGGTAAATTGAAACTCTTGTTCCTGGAGCCAATATATTCCACTGCTGTAAACGAGAGCCAAGGAGTTCCCCATGCTGCTTTGATAGAGACAAGTCACGAATCAGATCTTTTAGCACTTCTTGTGTGATCAGATGATGCAGTTTATATTGAGGTGCCACAGGAATAGATTACTTGATGAAGATGATTCATTGTCTTCTTGACAGTATAACTCTTCTGTTTCCCAATTCACTAGTGGATGCGGCACTGTAAAACCATTCCCATGAGATACTGGTTTCATTGCAGATGTAATATCTGGATATTTGATGTATTGTTTAATTATGTCTCAATATCCAGAAACATTAGTCAATAACAGTCAATTAGATTATCTTTGGGCTCGCGCCATATCATAGGAATTGGAAAGGCATACTTGCTCTCTTTATATTCCACCAATGTGTCAAGCTAGATGTGCAAACTGTACAACACACATCCGGAGCAAAATGTTTTCCTTGGTCCCCAATTTTGCACCCAAAGTATTGAAACTGTAATATATTTTCCACAAATTTAGCAGAAATTGTTTGGGTGACTTTTGCATGTTCGGACTTTACTTAAACTGGAGACAGCCAGCATTTCAAATGATTTTCTAAAAAAATATAAACTAGGAGCTTAATCGTTTATAAAAAACAAAGTTTTGCAGAATTTGATCATATAACGGTTATGATGCGAGGAAGAAGATCGATCTTTGTTTTGATTGTGCGCGGAGCTAGGCGAAGTGACCAACTGAGTGAGGCGACTGACTCTGCCTCTTTTATGCTCAGTCGAGGGACTTCTCAAATGTTCTAGTAAACTGAGCACACGAGGGTTTCGTGATTCCAGGGCGGAGCAGGTGAGCGTGGGAATGAAGCAAAAGTGGTGAAATTTACTACACACACACATATCGAGAAAAAATAGTATATATGAACAATATATTTGGAATTTTACATCAATACAATGCAGCCAATGTTTGAAGTTACCAAAATGTATGCCTTTTACCAAATAAACTGTCCAGTTAAACTTAAATTCATAGCATAAATCTATTGTACTGAGTTGATTGAATGGTATTTCAATAACTGAAAATCTAGGGGTGATGTACAAATTCTGCCTACATTTTTGAAAACGGCACCATCAAATTACCCCAAATCACTTGAATTTTCTCCAGTAGCACTTTTTTTTTGTCCAGTGTAATCTATTGCAAAGCAATATCTATTTACTTTTCATAACAAAGTCATGTATTAACTTCACAATATAAAATTATCAAATAAAATCCTTTACAGAGCCAATAATGACTGTTGGCAACTAATTTAGTACTATTTAAGTTGTACACACATACCACTGCTGACAACTAATGAAGCTCTGCTTCAGTTGGACACACACAAACATGCTGGCAACTAATGAAGCTCTGCATTAGTTGGACACACACAGACATGCTCGCAACTAATGAAGCTCTGCATTAGTTGGACACACACAAACATGCTGGTAACTAATAAAGCTCTAGTTTAGTTGGACACACACACAGACATGCTGGCAACTAATGGAGCTCTGCTTTAGTTGGACACACACAAACATGCTGGCAACTAATGAAGCTCTGCATTAGTTGGACAAACACATACAACTGCTGACAACTAATGAAGCTCTGCTTTAGTTGGACACACACAAACATGCTGGTAACTAATGAAGCTCTACTTTAGTTGGACACACACAAACATTCTGGCAACTAATGAAGCTCTACTTTAGTTGGACACACACACAGACATGCTGGCAACTAATGAAGCTCTACTTTACTTGGATACATATAAACATGCTGGTAATTAATGAAGCTTTTTTGGTTGGACACATAAACAAGCTCGCAACTAATGAAGCTCTGCTTTAGTTGGACACACATAAACAAACATTCTGGCAAATAATGAAGCTCTCTTTAGTTGGACACACACAAACATGCGATGTAAATTAATTTTAATAATACATATCGTGAATTAGTATTTCCTAATGTACATTATTCTTCAAATACCTCTTTAAATATATACCCACTTACTTCCCTACAACATGGGTTGAATATCCGAGTTGTTTTAATTTTTCAGGTAAATATGTGTAATTCAGGAAGACACCAGAGGGCTGCAAATGGTGAATGTAAGTATTCTGCCAAAAACAAAATAGCAATTATTACGAACAAGAGAAGCGTTTAAGAACCTAAAATCATACGAAAAATTTTAGTTCTAAACAAACTGTAGGCTGAAAGATGTACCGTATTGCATTTCACAATAAATTAAAACCAGATTTCACACTTTGCTTACATAAGACCTGCAGAATGAATAGAAACATTATTCAAAGACTTAGTCACCATTGCGTAATGAGAACCTGGTAATCAACTGCTGACAACTAATGAAGCTTTACTTTAGTTGGACACACACAAACATGCTGGTAACTAATGAAGCTCTACTTTAGTTGGACACACACAGACATGCTGGTAACTAATGAAGCTCTACTTTAGTTGGACACACACAAACATTCTGGCAACTAATGAAGCTCTGCTTTAGTTGGACACACACAGTATTACCATATCATTGTGTTATCTTTCTCGTACTTGGCCCGTCTTACCATAGAATATTGTTATCTTTCTAATATTTGATCCGCCTTACCATAGAATACTGTTAACTTTCTCGTACTTGGAATGTCTTACCATAGAATATTGTTATCTTTCTCGTACTTGGCCCGTCTTACCATAGAATATTGTTAACTTTCTAATATTTGATCCGCCTTACTATAGAATACTGTTAACTTTCTCGTACTTGGAATGTCTTACCATAGAATACTGTTAACTTTCTCATACTTGCCCGTCTTACCATAGAATACTGTGAACTTTCTAGTATTTGATCCGCCTTACCATAGAATACTGTTAACTTTCTCGTACTTGGAATGTCTTACCATAGAATACTGTTAACTTTCTCGTACTTGGAATGTCTTACCATAGAATACTGTTAACTTTCTCGTACTTGCCCGTCTTACCACAGAATAGTTAACTTTCTAGTTCTTGGCCGTTTTATTATAGAATACTGTTAACGTTCTAGTACTTTGCCTGTCTTACCATAGAATACTGTTAACTTTCTAGTTCTTGGACGTATTACCATAGAATACTGTTGACTTTTTGATACTTGGCCGTCTTGCCATTACGTAATATTAACTTTCCTTATTTAACTTGTTTTAACATTAAGTAATATTAATTTTCCGTTATTCGTCTTGTCTTACTATATACCTAATATTTAATTACCTTACTATTACATACTATTACTTTTCGGTTATTCGTCTTGAATTACCATAAGGTAATATTAATTTTCCGTTATTCGTCTTGTCTTACTATATACCTAATATTTAATTACCATACTATCACGTACTATTACTTTTCGGTTATTCGTCTTGATTTACCATAAGGTAATATTAATTTTCCGTTATTCGTCTTGTCTTACTATATACCTAATATTTAATTACCTTACTATTACATACTATTACTTTTCGGTTATTCGTCTTAATTTACTACTAAATAATATTAATTTCCCATTTCCGTTATTCGACTTAATTTACCATAAGGTAATATTAATTTTCTGTTATTGGTAATTTTCTGGTAACTCCAACATGTTCTAAGACTTTCTGTTCGAAAATCCGCTGGAGTCAATCACCTACCAACTTAACATCGAAATTCGATCAACACTGCTCAGACTTTTTTCTGCTTTTAAGAGCGAATACCTTTATATTTGTTGTTTTAATTCAAATACATCTGTTCAAAGAAATGTAATGTATGTAAAAAGCTGTCAGTGTATACAAAGTTTACATTGCAGTTTAATAAGTGTCTCTTCATGTAGTGAGCAGTAAATATGTTTAGAAAAGTTCCATCTTAATAGTTACAGAACATAATTACAGAGTAGATACCATACAGGATATTAAAACTCTATGATATATAATACGAACCTGTCTACCAACGTGATAAGGAAAGTAGCCGGTCATAAATGCTGTCCTTGACCTATGATGAAGAAATGTATTCTAATTATCGGTTGAACAACGTAGCTATATTTAGCCATAACACTTTACCACACATTCAGCTATTTTATTGATATAACTTATAAAGAGCATCGAAGTGCATATCAATGTACATCTTAATGAGCTATATCTACATAGGTAGCTATCTTTGATTACAAGTTCGTATCAAACAAATATAGACTCGCGATAAAGGATTTGGTATCAAACACGATTTTGCACTATTTCTGGTCGAAAAGTATTTGTGGCTGGTTAGTTTCCAGCTTTTTCCCACTCGTTTCTTCACCTTGCCGTTATCAGCTGATCGTGGCATGGACTCTGTACCTAGGTTTAGTACAACTTGCTGTTATCAGCTGATCGTGGCATGGTCTCTGTACCTAGGTTTAGTACAACTTGCTGTTATCAGCTGATTGTGGCATGGACTCTAAGCCTAGGTTTAGTACAACTTGTTGTTATCAGCTGATTGTGGCATGGACTCTGTACCTAGGTTTAGTACAACTTGCTGTTATCAGCTGATCGTGGCATGGTCTCTGTACCTAGGTTTAGTACACCTTGCTGTTATCAGCTGATCGTGGCATGGTCTCTGTACCTAGGTTTAGTACAACTTGCTGTTATCAGTTGATCGTGGCATAGACTCTGTACCTAGGTTTAGTACAACTTGCTGTTATCAGCTGATTGTGGCATGGACTCTGTACCTAGGTTTAGTACACCTTGCTCTTATCAGCCGATCGTGGCATGGACTCTGTACCTAGGTTTAGTACACCTTGCTGTTATCAGCTGATTGTGGCATGGACTCTGTACCTAGGTTTTAGTACACCTTGCTGTTATCAGCTGATCGTGGCATGGACTTTGTGTGTTCCTAGGTTGATCAAACATTTCAAGTTACTTATTATGTCACTGAAAGCGAAATAAAACGAGTATTAAACCTAGCTGAAAAAATCAATATCTTCACTCAACCACTCTTAACGTAACAACGAACAGAGGTGTGTTTTTATAAAAACCAAATCTCGGGTTACACCCACCTGTCCCACTCCGCTATTGACAAATAAATCTCGAGTGGATAATATATGTCATCAGCCTGGCTTGTGACTACTAATATAACTGGAAACTGCAGTTATTAAATTATATGTGAGACCTTTTTTCTCCAATATGACAATATATGTTTAATATATAATTATAGGGTTTAATGTTTTAACCGGATTATAAAAAAAAACAACTACGGTTCCTAACAAATGTGACGGTAAAGCTGACTTATCTCAACATTATTATTTAGACAGTTACTTAATATGAAATGTTTCCAATGTTTACGGTGAAATTGAAGAATTTCAGAATATAATACTTACGGCGTACAAACCGGTTGGACATAAGACTGGTTCAGGATGACGCCACCTAGCGCTAGACGTTCTAAGTTAGGTGTTTTTATGTCGGGATTATTCCAGCTAACATCATTCCATCCTTTATTGACAAAGAAAAACAATATATATATATACGTTAGGAAAACGAATAATTGGTTGACTACTACTTCACACGTTGTTGTGTATACTACATGAATGAAACTAGTTTAACCCTGTCGTATTTCGTTTAAAACGATGGGTTTTTATTTTTCTAAACTATTTGAAAATAACGTTTTGATGCGTAAGTCAAAAATTTTGTTTTTAAAGAGAAAGTTCACTATGAGTAACGTTGGGAAAAACAAGGGAAGGATATTAGGATTGAATAGTAATCGGGACGTCCTCGACCCTTTTAAGAAACGAAGTAACTAGATCGTCAGCGAATATCGTTATTTGCTACAGACTTGGAGAAATTCCAACCCTCATCAGTAACCCTAGACAATTTAGTAGCATTAATGCTACATGATCTTTAAATCCTATACAAATATAGATTCCTGTGATGTGTAAGAAACAGCTAAAATGGCATACTTATAATAAGCAGTCCACCACTATAAGAAGCCTAGTTTTCTTTTTTCGATTACAACTTATACTCACTATGTACCTTACATCTAGTGTAGTCACACTCGCTATCTATGTTAGAACAGCAGATCCTTTGCCTCATAACTTCTTCCAATACATGGACCATACTTTCCGAAACTATACTGTTATGCTGATATTAATTGTCGTAGAAGATCATCTGAATTACGTCAATTTCATTCCACCTGGACATTATTACTGGATCTTTCCATCCCATACTCGACCTGAATCCAGTACAACTCCTGATGTTGTTGCGGTCTTGGCAAATTTGGTTTCACTAGTAACAGCCCAAGTTCTTTCTCCAGCCGGTAGTGACCATTGCCAGTTCTAAATCAACTCGATACAAGGAATACAATGTGAGACTAGAGAACCGGAATACTTCTCTGAATTACCGTGATGTGGACTGGCTTTCTTACCAGACCCACATCAACAATTCCATGCAAGATACGGTTGTAAAGCTTTCTCTAATCAATTTATTAACTTTTGCGCTCAAAAAACTAAAACTGTCATTACTTCGGCCAGCTCCCGTCATATTCCAAACATTGATAAACACAAACCTCTGTTACCCAGACGAGCTGTATCATTACTTAACCTCTCCACTTTTCTACCTTGTGAATATTCCCGTTCCAGGGGTCCAGTCATTCTACATTCTCACCCCTGTAAACACTTAGACACAACACAAATGACACAACACTTTAACAAGCATTACAATACACGGCAACAACTGAAAACTGCCCTTTAATATTAAAGCCATTTCAGGATTAGTTTTTACTAAGCAAATCATCTGCATAATCTCTCTTCCAAATCTTGAACGCTGCCTGATGTATTACTACGTTTTCCACCAAGTTCAACCTTCAGCTCACCTCAGCAATGACTGTCTCACAGTCCCGTAATTGCTCTTCAATCAAGCATGTGATGAAGTCTAGAGCTCGACCATCCAGACTCAAGATCATGTCCTGGCAGTCTGTTCTGAAAAACAGCACCCCAAACAGTGAGTAATTAGTCCCTAATACAGGGTAGCAGACTACAAGTTGCAATCATCAGGTCATGCAGGATACCCTGCGGCTCAGAGAAGTTCACTATTATCTCATGGTTTACTGTCTTTGCCATTTGGTGCATGCCATCTCACCTCTCAGAGAAACAGCTCTTGTTGGCAGACTTTGTACACCAAAAGCACCTCCAGTCTTTCTCTGACCATTCTCAAGTGGCTTTGACCAATGTGGGTTTGGGTTATTCTTGCAGCCAAGGGCCTGGTAGTCCTATACAGACCATCCCCATTTGATCAAACATCCAGATGAAATACCACAATCACAATGACTCTCAGTTGTCATAATTTTATTTACACTGAGATCACCCCTCAGAAGGAGAGCAAATCAGACATTCTGTATGCATTAGACATTGGTGGCTCTTCTTATTGAATCATTGGGTGTAATGCAAAAAAGTCATGGACCTTTGAAGCAATGGCAAAAGGAGAGGACTTACCCTAAACCTGACAACTCTCTTAGACAACTGTCTCCATTCAGTTAATAACACTTATTTTTGGTCATAAGCCTTTTAAGTTGTGAAAAATGTCATTTCTTCATGAATGGGGTATTTAAGCTAAATAATACAAGAGTTGGGTGTGTTGTACGATTTTACACAAAGCTACTCCAGGGCTATCTTCACTAGCCATCCCTAAGTTTGAAGTGATAGACTACACAGAACACAGCTAGTCAACATCACCCACCACAAACTCTTGGACTACTCTTTAACAATGAATAATGAAACTCACATCACATTATAATGCCTCCACTGCAGAGAGAACAAGCGTGTTTAGTTATGAGTTTAGATGATGACCCACTGATTGCAAGTCGACTGTCCTAACAATCGTGTCATGCTAGAACCATAAGAGTAGTAGCAAAGGGCAATACACATCAGCAAAAAAAATTACAATAAGATATCCTGCAGTTACAGCACCAAACTTTTCTCCTTTCTAATAATCTTTATTCAAGATACAAATACATTATTAGATGATTGCCGTATACTGGAGAGCTAGTTCTCCAAAACCATTTATACTCTCAAGACTTGTTCCAAAATGATTAAACCTTGCATTACTTAGTTAAAACAGTATATAATTTAAGGGTTATCCAGAGCAACTAGAGCTTTCCAGGCGGCTGGTAATTCCCATTAGAAAATATGGAAGGTTGTAACCTTGAGACATCGCCTGACCTACCACTGGAGGAAACTGCTGCTACTTTCATGCACAAGGTAAACATTACAAAAGTTACTGATGAGGGATGTAATTCCTCAAAGCTGGTATAAATTGATGATAAGTGATGAATCAAATGATAGAATGGACTCCATACCTATTTTTAGTATCTTAAATTTTGTCTGCTGAATAATTGAGAAGAATAAATTAGTAGCATCAACGCTACATATTCGTCAAATTCTATATAAATATAGGTTCACTGTGGTGAGTAAAATACAACTACAAATATAGGTTCAATGTGGTGAGTAAAATACAACTACAAATATAGGTTCAATGTGGTGAGTAAAATACAACTATAAATATAGGTTCACTGTGATGAGTAAAATACAACTATAAACAGAGGTTCACTGTGGTGAGTAAAATATAACTAAATATAGGTTCACTGTGGTGAGTAAAATACAACTATAAACAGAGGTTCACTGTGGTGAGTAAAATACAACTATAAACAGAGGTTCACTGTGGTGAGTAAAATATAACTACAAATATAGGTTCAATGTGGTGAGTAAAATACAACTATAAACAGAGGTTCACTGTGATGAGTAAAATATAACTATAAATATAGGTTCACTGTGGTGAGTAAAATACAACTATAAACAGAGGTTCACTGTGGTGAGTAAAATACAACTATAAATATAGGTTCACTGTGGTGAGTAAAATACAACTACAAATATAGGTTCAATGTGGTGAGTAAAATACAACTATAAATATAGGTTCACTGTGGTGAGTAAAATACAACTATAAATATAGGTTCACTGTGATGAGTAAAATACAACTATAAATAGAGGTTCAATGTGGTGAGTAAAATACAACTATAAATATAGGTTCACTGTGATGAGTAAAATACAACTATAAATAGAGGTTCAATGTGGTGAGTAAAATACAACTATAAATATAGGTTCACTGTGGTGAGTAAAATACACCTATAAACAGAGGTTCGTTGTGGTGAGTAAAATATAACTACAAATATAGGTTCAATGTGGTGAGTAAAATACAACTATAAATATAGGTTCACTGTGGTGAGTAAAAGACAATTAAAATATCATATATATAAAGTGAGATTATTTTTCTCCTCACCTTTCCTTCATATAGTAAGGGGCATTTTTACTTTGAACATAATCTTTGACCTATTGATATTTTACCACAAGCCTTTGGTGGATGTATTATTTATTCAATTTCTATTTTTCAGTAGTTCATTCACTAAATCTTTATATGAATTATAATATTGCGCTATGTAGAACAAACTTGTTAGCTTAGTTTATAAATTTAGAACTAACCTGAATCTACTAAGCTGGTCGAGCTATGTGTAACTACAATGTCATAGTTCATAGTTAGACATTGCCCCCCCCCCAGTGGCACAGCGGTATGTCTGCGGACTTACAACGCTAGAATCTGAATTTCGATACCCGTGGTGGGCAGAGCACAGATAGCCCATTGTGTAGCTTTGTGCTTAATTTCAAACAAACAAACTTAGACAAACAGCTGAAACAGTGCAGAGATACATTGCTGGTTAGAATACTTAATATATATACTTTTATTTTGTATCGTTTCTAATTTCACTTTATGTTTACTATTTTATTATAAATATTATTCTGCATTTGTTGCTTAGCATATAGATTTTAGGACTAATCTGAACCTCATAGGTTAGCTGAACCTCAAAATATCTTATTTGGATTTACAGCCGAAAATATCACTAACAACGATGTTACCCAACTGATAAAACAATGCATTCTAATCACTATAATTAGTATAGTTTTAGTATTATATTTACTTATGTATGATTATTATTACGTATATATTTTAGTTCTGATCTATGTATAACTTACTTTGTTCAGAAGTTAATATTGATTTATTCATACAGAGTATGGTTGACTCAAACCAAGTACAAAATGTAACACGAAATCTGAATGACTACAAGTTTCCTCATTTTATAATGCACCCACATTTTTAGCTTAGTAATCCAAGCTAGGAGTTTCTTTCAGAAGTGCGTTCTTCTTTTTTATCACTATTATTCAGTTTTTTTCATTTCTTGAAGTATAAACAACAGTTGTCTAATATCATGTCTATAACTTATTTAGTTTTCTTCACAGTTTACAAATTATATGTTTGCGCGTGCGACATATGTTATGTAAACCTTTTAAAATCAGCTAAATTTATCTTCAAAGTTCTATATAAAGAGGTCGCTCTTACCCAAATCATCTGCTACAATCAGAACGATGTGAGGCGTACTCGTATTTTGGCCTTGTATGTTCTGAGTTAGGGTTAACAAGATGTAAAAACTTAAAATGTTTTGTCCTACGTTCACCATGGTGTTCCCTCTAATATGACTCATAAGGTAGTATTGGACTTGATCAATAGGCAACTCAAGATAAAAAGTAAATCTTCCTTAGGACAGGAAAATAATTGGGAGTTTTACTTGTTTCTGTCACTTTCCGCAAGAATAGTCCCTCATAGTATTTTAAACTGGTACCCGGATGTTGTTTCGCTCTGTTACACAAACAACCGTTAGATAGACTTTCGGGGCTTCGTCTAAATTTCGCTGCACTTTTTTTTGTGTGATAACAATTTAAAGCAAAGTCACAGATTCCTGCGTTATGTCAGTGATGAAAATAAGTCAATCAAAGACTATGACCTATTACCCCTTACATGTCTGTAAGCGCCAGCATTTCAGTCAACTGTGTACAATTCTATCAATCATATTTTAAGCACGTGACTAACTACAAGAGAAGATAAACACCAACGAAGGTCATTTTCCTCTTACTCGTGCCACGTGTAGTAACTTTTATATTTTGTTGCTTACTGGTTTATAGTTATGTCTCTACGTTAATTTTAACTGAAAATGTGTCTCAGTATATATAGGGGTGAAATAAAGTCTCTAGTATCTAATTATATGCACTAATAAAGTTGAAAACATAGTGTATTGTAAAAGTTGTCAATAACGTGTGGTAACGTAACGGGATACCCGATGTATACACAGAGCGAAGTTGAATATTATTCCTTGTAAAGTTGACTGTAACCTTATTTTTTTATTACTTAGTAATACAGTTAAGTTTTCTAAAAGCAGTAATATTTGAATATGGTGTTCATACGTACTGTTTTCCGATATAATAATCCCAGTGTTAGATTAATTCAACTGGGAATTACCAACGTTTTATGAACGGAAAAATTATTTGTGGGCTATAAATTACAATGATAGGTGGTGTTCCCTGGTAGGTTAACGTTAAGTTTACGGACTTATAAGTTATAATGCTATAATCCGAAGGTCGATTCCCTTGAAAAATCCCTTACAACAGTATCTCAGAAAGTATATAAAAGCAGTTATTCGCAGGTAGAAAGATAGGAAACTGTAAACTATCGAACAGCCGAAACAAAATAATTGCATTTCTTTGATACTGGTCTAAGGAAGGTCTGAATAACCATATTACATAGTAAATAACTTTTTAACCGCATATTGATTTTAGTAAGATTTGTAACAAAATAGTTCAATGAATTCTGACAACACCTTCTATATCCCATAATACAGTGGTATTACCATTTCTTTTGTTTGTGGTTTGTAGAGAGATTTCCACACCACAGGCGGATTAGCGTGATTAACGTCTATTGGTTTCATTTTAATACTACGGTAATACAACCTATTGTAGGCACTGACAAATTTTTTAACACTAAGATGTACTTGAATATTCCATGATGGGTAAAATAGCGCCACATTTTAGTTTTAAGAGTACGACTAAAATGTTCGACTGCAGAGGCTTTTGTTTCGTTATTTATAGTAAAGAAGTGAATGTTTTGTTCCTTGAGATAGTGTTGAAACAGTTGATTAGTATTGTTACGACAGCGGAAGTCACACGACGCTGGAGTTTCTAGAAGGATCATGAATTTTCCAGGCAACTCTAGTTTGTTCCAGGTGCCCTCTTTTTTAGTATATAAGCCCAGCAAATAAAGCCAGCGAAA